CAGAGTAGGAGTCACAGTGTGGAGGTGGATTAGCAGGGTCTGGTGCTAGGTAACCGCACGCCCCCTGGTGTTGAGCACCAGAGTTTGTGCAGCCACATACCAGAACCCTGATTCAGCTTATGCGGATCCCAGGAACTAGGAGCTTGGAATTAAGCAGACCTCCCAGGAGCTGAATAGGGAGGCTCTGCAGCAGGAGTGTATCCAGTACTGAAGCAAGGCAAGACTAGAGATAGGAACCATACATGAAAACAAGACAAAACTAGGAGAACCCAGAACCAGAGCAGGACAGAAAGCAAAACCCAGAACATGTTCACAAGACGTGAGGAAAACAAGAACAGTGCAGGACAGGACTGTACATGAACTGGGAATACAAGACAAAATAAAACAAGACAAGAGATACAAGGCAAAACAAGAGGAGACATAACTATATATGAAAAGTATGGGGATTTAGTTACATTATATGATCATACATTGCATAAGCCTGCCACAACGCCAATGTACCCCATATTCTGCAGGTCCTACTCTGCCTAATGCAAGCTAAACCACACAAAGAAAACACATAGTACTGCAAGAAAGGGCAGAGACTTGAAACACTGCTGCAGGTCCAGACTGAAACAAAAGGAAAATGGAAAACAAACGGGTGTGGTTACATAAAACAAACATATAAAGGAAACCTGGAGACTGGGAATCCCAGGGATGGATTACAGGAATGAACCCAGAAATCCCAGCAAAAAAGAAGACCAGACATAGGCTAAAAAAACAGAAAAACCAAGAAAAACTAAACAAGAATTGTAAAAAGAGTACTGGATACCAGGAGCAATTGGGTTGTAGACACTTAAAGTACTTATATGTAAACAATGAATTTTTTTCATTTGATTATCTACAATCTAATTTTAAAGTTCCTACTAGTTTATGGATAGAATATAACCAGTTAAAGTCTAAGATTTCATCTTCAAGTTATCATTTAAAGCAGTTTAGACAATTGACAGCCTGTGAAAAATATTATGTTCAATAAATAAGAAGCATTTGCTGTCAAAATGTTTTAGTCTTTTGAGAGATAGGGAGTTAGATACTAAATCTATAATATAGATAAGTATAAGAATTTGGGAAGAAGAATTAAATCAACCCTGGCCCATAGAAGTATGGGTGAAAGCTTTTACCTTAAAGGGACACTATAGTCACCTAAACTACTTTAGCTAAATAAAGCAGTTTTAGTGTATAGATCATTCCCCTGCAATTTCACTGCTCAATTCACCGCCATTTAGGAGTTAAATCACTTTGTTTCTGTTTATGCAGCCCTAGCCACACCTCCCCTGGCTGTGATTGACAGAGCCTGCATGAAAAAAAAAAACTGGTTTCACTTTCAAACAGATGTAATTTACCTTAAATAATTGTATCTCGATCTCTAAATTGAACTTTCATCACATACAGGAGGCTCTTGCAGGGTCTAGCAAGCTATTAACATAGCAGGGGATAAGAAAATCTTAATTAAACCGAACTTGCAATAAAGAAAGCCTAAAAAGGGCTCTCTTTACAGGAAGTGTTTATGGAAGGCTGTGCAAGTCACATGCAGGGAGGTGTGACTAGGGTTCATAAACAAAGGGATTTAACTTAAATGGCAGAGGATTGAGCAGTGAGGCTGCAGGGGCATGTTCTATACACCAAAACTGCTTCATTAAGCTAAAGTTGTTCAGGTGACTATAGTGTCCCTTTAACAGATAAATTAATCAAACATGTTTCATATAGACAAATGTATTTTAAAATCTTAAATAGATGGTATGTAACTCTGCTTAAACTTTGGAAAATAAAGAAAGATGATACATAAATTATGCTGGAGAGGGTGTAATCAAGTTGGCTCAGCAATGCACATGTGGTGGTCCTGTCCTTACATTCAAGTCTACTGGCAGGAGGTAAAACCTGGGATATCTCGAATTGCAGGTGAAAACATTAACTTAATGCCAGAATTGGCTCTGTTCCACCTTTTACCTAGTCACCGTACAGAAGAATTAAAATCTCTTCTTCAGATTCTATCGATAGCGAAATGGCTAATTGTTATAAATTGGAAAGGAGGAAAGCTCCCAAAGTGGTCAGAAGTGGAGAAGGTGATGCAGAGAAATAGAACATTAGAAAGAGAAGATGGGCACTTAGGGGCATCTATAGATCCGAAGCATAGGTGGGCACTCTGGGATGACCACTGTTTGACCCTTGGATAAAACTCATTATAGTTACTTCTCCTCGTCAGCCCACCTCCCCTTTAGATCCTTGGAATAATGAATGTGGTATGTGTGTGGTTGTTAAAGTATAGGTACCCAAAGATACCTCATGGGTTTTGCCTCATTCCTAGGGTTAAATGTATTTATTGTTATTTTTTTCCCTTTATGGTCTTCTTTATACCCTTTTACTTTTATACATATTTATATAGCGTCTCCCTTTCTAGTATATTTCAGCTTATCCTCCTCCTAGGGTATGGGTGTAAAAAGTGATTAAGATGGAGACTTGGGGACTGTGTTTGTTATAGGGGAAGCCGGGTAAGAGTTGGGATGAGGACAATATGTTGAGGTAGTTGACAGACATAGGGTATTACTTGTATATTACTATACTATAATAGTATAGTAATATATTGTTAATTGACAGGCCGATTGTTGTGTATGTTTTATGTAATTTGTGTCAAAGCAAGACTATTGTGAAGAAATTTGTATCTATTCGAGTTTTATGTATTTTGTGATAAAACTAATAAAAAAAATTATTTAAAAAATAAATAAAAAATAAAGGAAGCACCAGGTACGCTATTATCCGGTTGTAACTGGACCGTGTTTGGAGGTACATCCATGAGGAGACCTGCAGCCGTAATGGGAAGACTATGAGCCTCCAGTCTCTCTAGTCTATCGTTGATTTGCCCCATGGAGGACACCACTGAGGAAATCATTGTGTGGAGGTTGGTGACATTAGAGTTACTTGTGCCCTCCCCTGCATCCGTATTGTCCGTGTTGGCCCGCATGAGCCTGAATAGCTCCGCTTTCCTGGCCGTAGCTGGGAAAGGATGCTGCGCTTGTGTAGCTTGGCCTTGATGTGGGGGATAGTCTATGACCTGATGGAGGCTGGGCTACCAGTGTCACCCTTGCATGTAGGTGTAACGGACCTGGCCAGGGTGGTGGGGACTGAAATATTGTCACTTTCATCAGGAACCTGAGACATAATGAAAAACAGCAACAATACCACTTAGAACCGGGGATGTTACTGGCAGGCTAGCTAGTGCCAACTAGCGAAACAATTCACTAATTGGTGATAGGTGAGCCCTCACTAGATGACAAGCAGCTTGAGATGCTCTACCTAAGGTAGAGGGGAATGTTTGCCACCTAACGTTGTGGCGCAGTGTCAGTCTCTCGGTGACCATTAAGCATAAGATAGAAAGGGCGTGACAAGTGAGGCTCTTTCTATGCAATGAGTGAGGTGGCTAGCTATGATTTGGCTTGTGTGTGGAGGAAGGGTGAAGGCCTCTCGGGACCACTGAGTCTAAGGCGGAGAGTGCCTGGATCAAGTACCTAAGTGGCCATCTACTTCCCTATCAGCCAGTAACCATATAGAAAATTCAGGCCAACAGAGGGGGCCCGGGAGTCTCGTACCTGCTGGTAAAGTGAGTACCCGAAAGGTCAGCCGTACGACAAAACAGGGATCTTGATTAAGGAGGGAGGCCTAAATCAAATGGAAAATGGTAAACTATTGTCAACAGAACTAATGTAAGCAGATAAGACCCATATATGGATGTATAAGACCTGTATATGATAGGAAACTCACCTAGGTATTAGGATAGAGTTTGTGAAGAGTCGCTAACAGGTACCTTGTACATGACAATAAACTTGACATGACATACTACTAGAGATCATCTGGATAGACTGCAAGACCACTTAAGGACAGGACAAATGTTCTAATAGATGCATAATTGATGATTTACTGCAGAACCACGTTAATCTACTTCAGATAAGAAATAATTATAGTTATGGCAGATCAGTGGAAATTCATCAGAAAAGAGGTTATGATAGGATATCTCCCAGGCCCGGACTGGCCATCGGGCACACCGGGCAAATGCCCGGTGGGCCGCAATGTCCATGGCCCGAGGCCGGCAGGGGAGGTCCCAGGTCATCCCCTGCCGGTCTATGCAGGGCCGGCGCTCGGATAGTGTATTCCATGTGTATTCCACTGTATTCCATGGAGGGCCGGTGGGGAGATCGAAGATCTCCCTCACCGGCCCACTTGGACAGACCTGGGGCTATGGAGGGAGAGGACCCGGCGGAGCTCTATCTTGCAGCTTCACTGGGTTCCTCTCGCGAGATCCGGAGCGACCGTATCTCGCGAGAGTGAACTCTAGCCTGCAGGCTAGAGTTCACTCACCACTGGACCACCAGGGATGGCGTGAGAGTGCCCCTCCCCCCCACCTCCCAGGTACCCCCGTGCCAGTCCCCCCCTCCCAGACTAAAGGTAAGAAAGGAGGGGGGAATTTAATGCCTGCTTATTTTATTTTTTACCCCCCCAAACCGCCTCAATCCCTTCTAATATTCACACATAGCACTCTCACACCCATCACACACAGCACTCTCACACACATCACGCATAGCACTCTCACACATAGCACTCTCACACACACACATCACACACAGCACTCTCACACACATCACACACAGCACCCTTACACCCATCACACACAGCACCCTCACACACATCATAAACATCACCCTCACACACATCACACACAGCACCCTCACACACATCATAAACAGCTCCCTCACACACATCACACACAGCCCCCCTCAAACACACATACTGCACCCTTCACATACACACTACATCCCTCACAGACACCCACTGCACCCCTCACACATACACACAATACTTCCGAACATATTTATATATATCTAGTGAGTGTATGTATATAACGGATTCAGAGTGTATAAAGGGATCTAGTGTGTGTATATGATCCAGAGTTGGGTAGGGGATCTAGTGTGTGTCTGGAACGTAATGTGTTTAGGAGTGCAGTATGTGTGTGTATATATATATACACACACATATATATACACACACATACTGCACTCCTAAACACATTACGTTCCAGACACACACTAGATCCCCTACCCAACTCTGGATCATATACACACACTAGATCCCTTTATACACTCTGAATCCGTTATATACATACACTCACTAGATCTTCTACACATTCTGGGCCCTTCAAACACACACTAGACTCCTGTAAACACACACACTGCACCATCAACACACACACACACACACACACACTACATTTCTAAAATACACACTCTGGATCCTTTATAAACACACTAGATTCATTGTAAACAAACACATACTACACCCCTAAAACACTGTGCAGAACAAATACAGGGCTTTTTTTCTCATGCTAGAGCTCTTTAGCAGAGTTCTGCGCATTGTCTGCCCTGGAACAGCATTGAACCAGCATGCTCACTTTGAGAGGGGGCGTGTTTGTAATTGGTGATGACGAAACACACCCTCTCTGCCCCACCCCCTTCTCAGTTGCCCGCTGTGATAAAAAAATGCCCGGGACGAATTTTTCTCCCAGTCCAGCCCTGATATCGCCTGTAACTGGGAATAATGCAACCATTCCAATACCTATACCATATATCTCAAATAAAGCCACTCAGTTCTGCTGAGAATATCAATGTGCACAACATATCCTTACTTCATATCCCAAAAGAATAATAAATTGTGCCTTGTAAGTGCGTATAATAATGACATATTAGTAGCTTGCCCATTTCCTCAGCAATACGTTATACATATAATAGTTGACATGGCAATGATTAGTAGGAATTACTGGGTATAAGTCTAACCCCATGGTTCCTCACATTGGGAGACATGAGGATCCTGAGGGGACACTCAAGAGGGGGAATTGAAATGATGGATTGCATATTGACACAGTGAGGGAGACACAACCTTGTAAAATCTGCTTATGTGAAGAGTGGTGTTGGGTGCAACATGAATGTGGGAACCAAGGTGCGTAGCTAGCCTCCTTCCGTGGGTTCCTCAGGACCTAAGAGCCAGGCGAATGGACAACCCAACCTCCTCCCCATGTGTCTGAGGTCCTAGGACACAGAGGCTCTATACTGCCGTAGAGCCTCTGTGCCCGTTAACTGCCTGACCGAGCAACCTCGTGGTGTGATTGAGCTCCCCCCTAACGATATATTGAAGGAGGCATATGGTGTGGTGCAGGTGCAGGCTGGGCAGCCTGTGTAAGCTATTATTTACCCAACCACATGCCGACCAAAGTGATGTCACAGAGGAGCGCGCCGTCTACTTGCTGAAAGCCAGGAACATAGGGAGAGTAAGCAGGGTGAGGAGCTTGAGCAGAAAAAAAACACGGTAACCAGGATAGCGGGACACCAGCGTTTCTTGGCGGGAAATAGCGGTCTGTGATGCAGCAGATCGTTGGACCAATCACAGTAAGTTAGGAAAAGGTAGAGTCCCTTTTAAATGTCCATACGCCCCACCCACAACTTCAGGCCAGGCCTTTATATATAATAGTAGCCCCTTTGGCATCAAGTAAATAACGGGTGGAGAGAAAGACATACGTGGGTTTAGGGAGATAGAGAGAAACACATAAAGGATTTCGTAAGAGGCAGAGTAGGTGTCAAAAGGGGGGTTAGGGTGATGGGGAGAGAGTAACAAGGGGGTGAAGGGAGATAGCGGAATAAAGATGGGTTGAACATCACCAACATTAATCTCTTGCACACCTTGAGCACAGTGAACCATAATCACCGTGAAAACTGTAAAAAGACATACAATACATTTGTTTACAGAGATCACCAAAAGGGGGTTACAGCAGAATTACAAATGTGGAGATACAAGGTGGAGTTCAGTTGTCTGCACACATATCTAAATTACATTAAACATCTAAGGAAACATGACTATATATACAAGGATTTGGGTTACAATACATAATATACAAACATTTGGATTATCTATAGCATATCTTTTAACTAACAGCACGGACACAATTTATGCCTAAGAACATATATACTTTTATAGACCATGCATGTTTACTGCGTACCTCGCTCCGCTTGCCAAGGGGTGCAACTTTACACTTTAGAAATACCTCAGTAACAATTGCATTCCCGCGAGGTGCTCCTGGCTTGCTTGCATCTGAATGCTGAGTCATAGAGAGCCTTTTGCCTCCAAAACTAGAGGAAGGAGGGGGGTCTGATGATCAAACATTTCCCAGGGAAACAAGAGGAAGGCAGAAAGGCTCCGCTTGTGGCAGTCAGTGCTGAACAAGGATTTAAAGTAATAAGCGGACAGTTACATATATATATGTACACACAACATACAAAATACACAATTCAGCGCACTCGCTTATTCACTAAACAATGATTTTAAATCGTACAGCACTCTATAATGTATGTATGCATGTATGTATCCAGATGAAAGTTTGAATTACAAACTGAAACGTTGATCTTTTAATTTTGAGCAATAAAAGCTGCATTTTACTTTAATGCTTTGGAGTCTTGGGAGTGCTATCTGAATATAACTTTGGTCTATGAATACTAACAAGCACCGGACAATAACACCAATAAGTTGAAGTGCAAGACTACTTGCAGAGAGATTAATGCAATGTGACTGTCTATATTCACCTATCCACTGTGCGGCCAGCCGGAGGTGCATCAATCTGAAAGGGAACAGTGAGTTAGAGAAGCCAGCCACTCTCCAGTGAGAGCAATTGGAGGGTGGCTGAAAGAGTGAGCAGATTGAGATAAGCAGGGTTCACCTAAAAACAAACCAAGCAGCGATGTGTTGAGAGGCTCAACAGGAAAATACAGCCTCCCCACATACAATCCACACCCCAACACATTCAGCCTGTTACATCAACCCTCCCTCCCAAACACACACACACAGTCATCCTGTCACATCATCTCCCCTCCCCCACACACTCAGTCACCCTGTCACATCACCCCCTCCCACATTCACACACTCAGTCACCCTTTCACAGTCACCACCCTCTACCTCCCAACACACTTAGTAACCCTGTCACAGTCACCCCACACACTAACTTCTCACACACAGTCACTCCCCAAACTCATCCCTCACACATTCACATTGTAAAAGTCACACTTACACTTTTGCAGTCACCCTGTCATACTCACTCTGTCACAACCACACTGCCACAAAGGCCCTAAGGGGTCAAAACTTTGTTTTTTGGCGCTTGGGTCCAATAAAATTGCCTATTTGTTGGAATACCTTGGAGTGCCTGGATTCTTTTCTACAACCACACTGCCACAGTCACCTCATAAACACACAGGCACCTCCCCACAGACAATAACCGTCATACTCACACTATCCCCACTCACACACAACACACACAGCAAGACCACAAGAAGTCCCCCCATACACACAATACAATGCAAGCAGCTCCCTCCACACATACGCTCCCAGACACAGAGATACATGTGTCCCCAGATATAGAAATACACAGTAACAGATATGTATTGCAGGCACAGTCACGGAGACACATACACACAGATATACACTCACAGAGGCCCAATGATACTCCCTGTCAGAAACACACACTACACAATTTCAGACATGCACACACAAGTACCAGTACACACTGCCAGACACACACTGTGATTTTGTGAGTGTATCTGTCAATGTATCCATGTTTGTCTGTGTGTCATTGTGTGTCTCAGTACATCAGTGTTTATGTGCGTGTACATAGTATGTATGTGTATTGTGTATCAAGTGAACATATGTGAATGTATCAGAGTGCATATGTGCATGTTTGTATCACTGGCTGTATATATGCACTTGTATTTGTGTGTGTGTGTGTGCTGGAGGAAGCTGCTCCTTCTAACAGCTGGGGGGACAGCTTCTTTAGTAATGATGGAATGCAGAATGGAGGAAAGGCTAGCAGGTTGTGGTGGTAGGGGAATCTATTATTCAAAAATTGCACAAAGTAATTTGCCACTCTTATCGCATCAACTCAGCAGCTGTCTCCCCAGTGCTTGGGTCTTGCATGTTGCTGACAAAGTGGAGGAATTATTGGGAGAGGCTGGGGATGACCCAGCTCTCATGGTACATATTGGTACCAATGATAAAGTTAGAGGAAGATGGAGGATCTTAAAGAATGAGTTCAGGGAATTAGGTAGTAAACTTAAGAAGAGGCCTTCCAAGGTGATATTGTCTGAGATATTACCTGTGCCATGCATTACAGTGAAAAGGCAGCGGTAGATTACAGAGGGCAATGCATAGCTAAAGTTTTAAAGAAGGGTTTGGTTTTTTTAAGAGCACTGCACAGATTCTTGCACTTATGTATGATCTTTATAGCCATGATGGATTACACCTTAGTGCAAGAGGGTAATTTGTGCTGGGGGAGAGGATGGCGTGGTGTGTTAAGTTAAAAAAGGGTAAATGAAGTATATAGTATAGAAAAGAGAGGAAATTCAGCAGAAGTCAAGGAGAGTGAAGATGGGGGGTAACATTAGTAGACAGAGCAAGAAGGTATTAATTACATGTTGTTCAAATAAAGTTCAAGATACAAATGGTAACTTTAAATGTCTGCTAATGCAAGAGGTTTGTTTAGGATGATGGGAGAGCTTGAGATATTGGCATACTGGGAGCAATATGACATAACTGGGATTATGACACTTGGTGGGTTGAAACACTTGATTGGGCTATTAATTTAAATGGATATACATTATTTAGAAAGGGTAGAAAAATAGAAAAATGGTGGGGCATTTCTTTATGTTAAATCTGATTTGAAAACAAGTGTTAAATAAATTGTATGTGATGATACATGCGATGATGTGGAAGACCTATGAGTAGAAATATGCATAGGAGGAAACAGGGGATATACATTAATAGTACAAATATGTTACAAGCCCACAAATATTAATACCGATGGGCAGGAGCAACCGCTATCTCAAATTAATAAGGCTGGACAACTAGATAATGTAGTAATCATAGAATATTTTAATTATCCAAACATTGATTGGGCCAGAGAAAATTTTACAGTTAAGGGAAAAAAATTTTTTTAACCTGAATAACGATAATTTAATGTCTCAATTAGTAGAGGTGCCAACTAGAAGAGATGCTTGT